GTGTGTGTTTGAAAGAGACAGACAGACAGAGAGATAGAGAGAAAAAGGCTGTGTCCAGGTATTTCTAGGGGTATGGGGGTATCTTTGTGTTTTTATCCTTCTGAGTGGATGCCAACATACCACTGTCAGTCTATGTGTGCCTGTGAGACAGCCTTTTTCTGTGTTGGTATGTGTGAACTGAAGAACGAATGCTATTGGGAGCTACCCGGTGGGCCATAGGGACCACCCTCACCCTCAGCCCAGGGCACAGGGGCTGGCTCAGGGGTTGCCTCTTCACCTGCCTTGGGGCTGACAGAGGCACAGAGGACGTGGGAGTTGGGGACAGGAACAATGGGCCCGGGACTGGGCCAGGGGCTCAGACATACTCCCGAGCAGCTGCAGAGGCAGGCCCAGCTCGATAGGGTTGCTGGGGGCTGAGTCTCTCTCTTTCAGGACAGGTGCAGCAGAGGAAGGAGCCCCCCAGCATGATGAGGCTGGCAGATGCCCAGCCCACAAACAGTGCTGGCCCAAACTCATACCTGGGAGGGAGGGAGGGAGGAGGGAAGGAGAGAAGGAAAGATCAGGTTAGACAAGGCCCCATTATGACTGGTTCATTAGGCCATGCCAAAATTATTCCCACCCTTCAGGGCCTAGTTTAATACCATCTCCTTCATGAAGATTTCTGTGACTAATCCTAGCTAAACATATCCTTCCTGACTCTGAACTCCTATCTAGACCCTTCATTGGTTACCAGCCATGTATTATATTTATTTTTTCACATGTATGTGGAAAAAATGGTGGCCCTGTCATCTACCTCTAAACAAGGGACAACTGGTAGATGCTTATTGAATTGAATTGAACTGAAAACTTTGTACTGTGTACATGTCATGACAATTTCTGCATATATAGATCTGACCATGCCACTCCCTGAAGAAAAATCTCTAGTGGCTCCTTATTGTCTATAGAAGAAATTTCAAATTCCTTGGCCCGGGATTCAAGGTCTGCAGTCTAAATCAACAGAGTTTTCCAGCCTCATTTCACATGGCCAAATTGCCTGATTCCTCTATTTCGTCCCACTTTCACCCACCTCCATGCATAAGTGCAGGCCATCTCCAAGACCTAGAATACCCTCTTCTCTTCATTTCTACCTGTTGAGAGAAGCCTTCTCAGGTGCTCCCATCCCTACTCCTGAAAGTGCTCTCTTCTGTCCCTGTCCCATTCTATTCTATAGCAGACTTCTCTGTATACATGCTCTATTCTTTCTAACAGACTGGAAGCTTCTTGAAGGTAGGAGCTATGCCATTTAAAAATATTTGCACCCCCACTACCAGGCTAAGTGCTCTGCTGATAACAGGCACTTTGTAAACAGTTATTGAAAAGATGTCTAGGATTCTTATAATCTAGCCAAAAGCTCACTAATGTTCAGACTCCTTAAGAGTCTGGCCAATATGATGGATGTTCTAATAAACCTTGTCTTTGGCTGAAAAAAACAAAAAAGAAAAGATGTCTAGGTCCTGCCTGCTGGAAGGTCTCTCTCCCACCAGCTTGCCATAGGGGCCTAAAAATCTAGCTAACATCAACAGGGATGAGTGAGTTCCAGAATGAGAGGAGTGGCTCCAGAAATAGTTTCCCTGTTCTCTCTAGGTTGATTGATGGAGAACAATGTGCAGGGCCCCTAGGGTCATCCTTGGCCTGAGTCACCCTGGCAACAATCATTCCCTCCTGTCACTCCCCCAAATGAGGCATTTCTCCTGTCTTATTGCTTGAGTTTGGGGGCAAAACTCCGAGGGGGAAGGGTTAGAGTAAAAACCCTCTTCTCCGTATTACTGGTGCTCTCAATGCCCTCCTTGACAAGACCTCTCTACTCTCCATTCACCAATTCTGGTCCAAGCGCAAAGGTACGCCCTTGGCATAGTCTCCACCTCTTATTCTGGGAGACAGCAGGTGATCTCCTGGAGCCCCCAAAGCCAGGTCAAGTACATGCCTCTGAAAGTCCCAGCTGCCATGCTCATTCCTGCCACCATACCAGCTTAGCTATTGGTTATCCCTCGCTGTTGCTCCATAACCAACCCATCTTTTCTGCTCTAAATAGTAGGGGTTTAGTATGTATTTGTTGGATTGAAGAGGCAGCACAGTAAAGCATAAAGTTTTCTGTATTTAGAATTGGGACCTGGGTTCAAATCCTGACTTTCTACACACTACCTGTTTAACAATCACCCAAGTCACTGTGCCTCTCTGGGTCTTTGTTTCTTGATCTGAAAAATGAGAGAGTTGGGCTAAATTATCTCTAAGGTCACTGCTAGTTCTAAATCTTTAATCCTATGAGCCTGCAGTCATGCTATTTCCTCCACCTGACATGTACCTCACAACTCACTCTACACATTCTCATAGACTCATAGAATAATAGAGACAGAAGGGACCTTAATGATCATCTAATCCATCCTCAGTTTGTAAAGAAGTAAACTGAGGCCCAGTGACTTGCCCAAGATCACACCTAATAAGGACCTGACAAAACTTGAACCCAGGCCTTTTCACACTAAGGTTCAGGATTCTTTCTACCATATCATGCTGTCCAGAACCAACTGAGACTCTTTTCAGTCTCTTAGAGTAAAAATTGTAGGAAATAGATGAGATATTGCTGAACCTTTCTTTCTAGAATGCTTGGGATGTTAAGAGATCTCTTAGTGGCCCATTGATCTTGCCTCAAATCCCTGAGAAGGTCCCCACACTGAAGACGGTCACTGGAGACGGGAGAACAAAAGTTTCTTTCGCTTCATAGAATCTCCGAGTTGGAAGACCTCTGACGAGATCATTTAATCCAACCTGTACTTGAGCAAGACTCCCCTCCATAACATGCCCATTAAAGTGGTCATCCAGCCTTTGGGAGGCAGTGTGGCGAAGTGGACGGAGCGCTGAATTTAGAATCAGAGGTTCCAAGTTTTAATCCTGGATTTGTCCCTTACTACTTGTGCGGCCCTGGGCAAATCACTTCCTCTCTCTGGGCCTCAGTTTCTTTATCTGTAAAATGAAGAGACTAGACTAGCTAACCTCCTAGGTCTAAAGAGACCTGTGATCTTTTCAATTCAAATCAATAAACATTTATGAAGTGCCTACAAGTCACTGTTGGGGGCGCTGGGGGGCACAAAGACAAAAATGAGATAGTCTCTGTTCTTAATTATATTCTTTCTTACATTCTGTTGAAGAAGTACTATATCTAGAAATATAATCCTTGATTCAGTCCCCTAAGCTCTGGACTTACATGAATGCGGCTCAATCTGAGGTGTTTCTCCAAAATCATATATTTTGGGAGTTTTTTGGTTGTTTGTTTCCTACTTAGTTTCCTCTGGGGACCTCAGAATATAACTTGTATTTAAGTCTCCCTCCAGATGTGAGTAAAAAGTTCCCAGATCCTATACAAGTTCTCAAGGTAACAAAGCACATTGGATGCAGGACCTTTGAGGGAAATGACTGGTCCATCCTAGAATGTATGAAAGAGAAAGAGAGGAGAGATAAGCACAGACTGAAATGAACACTACATTTTTAGAAAAGCAGATAGAAAAAATTCAGAGAAAAGACAGGTAGGATCCAATGGACCTAAAAATTCTTGTAAGGAAAGTAAAACCGAGGGAGATAGGGAAACTCCCAAAGATTGGCATGATAGGTAGAGTGCTGAAGTTGGAGTCAGAAAGATCTGAGTTCAAATTCTGTCCTCAGACACATGCTTTTTGTTTGATAGTGGACAAGTAATTTAACTCCTCACACTCTCACTTTGTTAACTCATATGGAGCTTCTGGCCCATTTAAATCTCCTAGATCTTTTTCAAATGAACTGGTAATGAGCTTAGTGGCTTCAAGACCCAATTCAAATCCAGCCCCTTCCATGAAGCCTTTCCTAATTAGTCTGGTCCATGGTATTCCTGATCATGACCTTCTCTGTCCTCTGATAAGCATCATATACTTGGGTCTATTCTATCCTGGACTGTTGTCTATATTTTTCTTTTCTTTTCTTTTCTTTTTGGCAATTGGGATTAAGTGACTTGCTCAGGGTCACGCAGCTAGTAAATGTCAAGTGTTTGGTCTGAGGCCAGATTTGAACTCAGGTCCTCCTGACTCCAGAGCCGGTGTTCTATCCACTGTGCCACCTAGCTGCCCCTGTTGTCTATATTTTTCTAAGGAAACCCTCAGTGTCTAAAATCCCATCTTCACTGGAATCCTTTTCCAGCCCCTCTTAATTCTCGTGTCTTCCCTGTTATTTATTTCCTGTTTATCCTGCATATGGCATGCTTTGTACATCCTTGCGTCATGTTGTCTCCCCCATTAAACTGAAGCTCTCTGAGGGCAGGGACTGTTTTTTGCCTCTTTTTGTTCCCCTATTACTTAGCATAGTGCCTGCCATAAAATGTGCACTTAATAAATATTTATTGATTGATTGGTCTAAAAAAGTATGGATTTTTTTTAAAAAAGGAAATGCTTAATGTCAAGCTGAGAAAGGCCATAGGCATCCAGGAAGCTAGGAGGAGGGAAGAGATTCAAAGGATCTCAGAGTCCTGCAGTAGGTGACAGCCACATCCTTATAGGATGGCCTGAAGCCCATTGGAGGTACTGTTATGAGGCTCAAAAGTGCATTCTGGCAATCTAGAAATTCCATTTTCATAAATAGGATTGGGAAGATTCCTATCTTTGGAAAAACCTGGAAAGACTTGTATGGACTGATGCTGAGTGAAGTGAACAGAACCAGGAGAACATTGTACACAGTAACAGTCACTTTGTTCAATGACTGACTTTGACAGACATAGCCCTTTCTCAGCAATGCAAGGATCTAAGACAACTCCAAAAGACTCATGATAGAAAAAGCTATCCACATCCAGAGAAAGAACTATGGAGTCTGAATGTAGATCGAAGCATATTATTTGCTATCTTTTTCCCTTCTGTTGTGTTTTGTTTCCTCTTTCTGGTGGTTCCTCCTACTGTTTCTAATTCTTCCTTACAACATCACTAATGTGAAAATATGTTTAATAGGAATGTATATGTAGAGCCTATATCAGATTGCACACCGTCTTAGGGAAGGAGGGGGAGAAAAATTTAAAACTCAAAAGCTTATGAAAGTGATTGTTGAAAACTAAAAATAAATGAATAAAAATATTAAAAAAAGATTCCTGTTTTTGACACCTTATCACTTCCGTGACCTTAGATAAGTCTTTTCCCCTCTCTGGGCCTCAGTGTCTTCATTTGTAAAATGAGAGGGGTTGTACTAGATCAGGGATTCTTAAACTGGGGCCTGGGAATCTTTTTAAAAACTATTTTGATGACTATTTCAGTTTAATTGATTTCCTTTGTAATCCTTATACATTTATTTTATGCAGTTTAAAATCTTATTCTGAGCAGGGGGCCAGATTTCCAAGGGGGTCCATGACACAAAAAAGGTTAAGGACCCCTAAACTAGAAGATCTTTAAGGTCCCTTTCAGCTCTAACCATCCCCCTCCCTTCAATGGATAAAATGGTCAAGATATGAACGAGTGATTTTCCAAAGAAAAAAGGAAATTCAATGAGCTATGAACTAAGAATGTCGTCTAAAGGCTGAGAACAGCAGCAACCTCGGAAATCTCAGGCCAGGAGCCTAAACAGACCACCTATTTATTCTCTCCATTGCAGGGACCTGTTGATTTTTCATTGGCATTTTCATTCGGGGAGTTCTAGCCCACTCAGCTCTATCGCCCATTGTCTAAAGAAATCTTTAGGTAGAAAGAGACCTGGTGCTTAAATAGATTTGGGGTGTTGTGATCTGTGTCAAGAACAAGTTCTAGCACATGTCTGACCACACATGTCACTCTCCTGCTCAGGAAGTTCCCATGGCTCCCTCTTGCCTGCTGGATAAAATACCCATTCCTACGTCTGGCATTCAAACCCCTCTACAATCTGGCTATGTTATCTTGTCATACAAATCACACATTGCTCCCCTTACAAACCCCACACCCCCCAGCCAAACTGGCCTGCTGGCTATTTCCCATACACAACATTCCATCTGCCACCATGGGCCTTTGAACAGTCTGTCCCCTTTGACTGGAATCTGCACCCTCTTCATCGCTGCCTCTTGGAGACATTGGCTCCTTTCACGACTCAGCTCCAATGTCATCTAATTGAGAATGTGAGATCTCCCCTGATTCCCCTAGCTGTTAGTGCCTCTCTCCCTCCCCTAATCAAACATAAACTACTTGAGAGTGGAGGCTGTCTCACTTTTGTCGGTATTCCCAGTGCCAGGGGTGGGGAACCTGGGGCCTCGAGGCCACA